AGAGAATGATAGCATGAAGTCATTGGTTATACCTCAGAAAAATAAGTGGTTTTACAGAAATATTAACGCTATTATTATCGTTAATAATATTAAGTATTAATAAAAAAAAATACAGCAGTTAACATTTATTGCTGTGTGCGGGGCACCGTACTAAGCATTTTATATGCAGTCTCATTTAATCCTCATATCAGCCCTCTAAAGAAATGAAATGGATAGTGAGGTTCAGAGTTTGAGTGCTCTGCCTCGGGTCACAGTGGTGCGGGTAATAAAGTCTGAACCTAGAGTCCGCTGATGACAGCTCTCAGCTTTACTGCACTTACACGTAAACTTTTGATAGATATCAATTACCTTCCATAAAGGTCTCTCTCTCTCTCTCACACACACATACACACACACACACACACACACACACACACACACAGCAAATGAAGCATCCCTTTTCCACAATAGTTGTCAACACTGAATATTATCAGTCTTTTAAATTTTTGTCAGTCAATTGGGAAAAAAGGGATAGTCTGTTATTTTAATAGGGTTGAACATCTCTGAATTTATTCATTGGTCATTTGCATCTTTCTTCTGTGAACTATTTGTTCATATCCTTTGCCCATTTTGAGTTAAATATTTATCTTATTGATTTGCAGGCAGTCACTTATATTCTGGATATTATATTAATATCTGGAGTATAAGTAAAGAAAGAAATGGAGACAATTAGCTAATCTTTAAAAAAATTAAATCTGCTTCATACCTTATACCCAAGCAAATTCCAGATGGATCAAAAATAATGAAATCATAAAAGCATAATCCTTTCTTATGGCAATGTGTCAGTTTCTTGGTATCAATTTAGTAAAATTATGGACTTATGTTGAGGAAAAAGTAATTTGAACAGGCTGAACAGGGCATTACAGCCTATACTAGAAAACTAGTATAAGAAGACTTTTAGTGACAAATCTACGTCACTGAAAGCAACTATCTTCGAAAATTATGAACGTAGTAAATTTATTAAGTTTAAAAGTTTCAAAATAATACTTATGATTCCATTTTAATAAAAGGAAACACATTAAACATTAGGTACATCAGAAGGCTATATTGAAATATTAACAAAGGTCATTTCTAGGTAGCTGGAGTTTGTAAAAGAAAAATTCAATACTATTTTAAAAAATGCATTGCTTTTGAAGATATCCCTTCTAAACAGATACAAAGATGGTTAGACTTCTGGAAATAAGGGTTTGTGACTCATTCATTTTGATGTCCTTTAAGCGCACAGTGCCTGTTCAGAAGTCTCCCGAAAGACCTTTGTTGAATGAATGAAATGGGGAACACAGGATTTACAAACAAAATCTCCATATCAGCTACTTAAAATACTCAAATTCAAAACTTTGCAGGAGAATCATATTTGTTCCTCAAGTAATATTTCATTCACAACTTTAGTTTATAACTACAAAATGTTATGTTTTTAACAAACAAGAAAGAAATGTAAGACTCTTAATGTGTATGAGCTAAAAGCAGTGGGGTGGAGATGATGTGAAAAAGAAATCTTGGGAATTCCCTGGCGGTCCAGTGGTTAGGGCTCCGAGCTTCCACTGCAGGGGGCACAGGTTTGATCCCTGGTCAGGGAACTGAGATCCCACAAGCCCGTGTGGCCAAAAAAAAAAAAAATTTTTTTTAATATTTTATTTTTGAAAAGACTTATGACAAATACAAAAGTTTATGTTGAATTCTCTCAGACACAAAGACTATCCCTGATTTATGAAGTATGTTATTCATACTTACTGAGTATCTATTATGGGCATATGGGCAAGCTTCTATTTGTATAAAAAGGGCATGAATATTTACAAGGAACTTATAATATGACTTCAAACACATAACTCTGTTCATGACATATCAATCCTATTGTAAACTGTACTAAATCATACTATAAAACTATAATAATTGAACTAATGTGTACAGGAAAGGAATGGGAAGAGATAAACAGACCGATGAAACAGAAATATTCCAAAAATAAACCCATGTCTTATGAAGGCTGAGTATTTGACACCAAAGATAGCTTTCAAAACAGAGGGGAAAGGATGGCCTAACTACTTAGTAAACAGTAGTGGGCAACTGGCTATCCAAAGAGTAAAGGAAGTTAGATTTCTACCACATACCATCTGTGTAAATACATTTCAGATGGATTAAAGAGCTAAACATTACAAAGAGAAAAAAACATAGGCTATTTAATTAACCTGAAGATAAGGAAGGTCTTCTTAAAGGAGACACAAAATTCAGAAGCCACATGAATAATACTGATGAATTTGAAGTGATAATTTAAAATTTCTGTTCAACAAAAAACAGACAAGCAATACATTGAGAGAAAAGATGTGCAACGTACAATACAGGCAAAGGATTGATACTACAAGAAAGAACACCTACAAAGCAGTAAGAAAAATAAACAATTCAATATCAACAAGCAATTCACGAAGAAAAAGAAATGGCCAAACAGAAGATTCCGTGACTTCTCTACTAACAACGACGACAACCATAATAGCTAATACATAATGATTACTAGGCATCAGGAGCTTGGCTACGTGTTTTAGATATCAACTCATTTAATCCTCCCAACAACCCTAGGAGATAAGGTGTTATTTTTATCCCTTTTTACAGTGGAGAAAATTGTGGCAGCAGTTAAAGAAGCTGCTCAGGGACACACAACCAGAGTGCAGGGCTAGAATTCCAATGCTGAGAGTATAGCTCTACAGGCCAGTATAGCACCGAACCACTGTCCTATATGACCTCTCCAGGGATCTAGGCATCAGGGAAATACAAATTAAAACAAGATGTCATCTGTTGTTCAAACTGACAAAAATAAAAAAGACCAACATAGTCAATGTGGCAAATGAGGATTATCAACATTGTTGGTAGAAGAATAAAATGGCGATTTCTTTTTGTAGTAAAAACTCTTCAGAAACAGATGCTGTGAAAGTTCAGAAAAACAAGTTATGCAATAAAAGGTGGACAATAGTCAGGTAGTTTCTTACTAAAATGTTAATTTTATTTTCTCCTGAAGGTAGTAACAAATCCTAGAACTCCTTTCCTTTTCTCTCTTAATTCTCAGATGCCCATAAAGGCCACCAGAGGATGAGCATTCCTTTGCTCCCATGCTAATTGTTTTTTGGTGGCTGCTCCCCTTGTGATTTAATCAGCCCAGGTCAAATTTTCCCTGAAAACCTGTTTCTTGATGCACTAAACGACACAGATTCTGCTTTCTATTCTTTTCCATATTTGTCCCTTAGCCTCTTTCTCAAGAGCCAAAGTTTCTCTTGAACAAGGTTCAAGAGACAAGACTGAAGGTGAGAAGCTCAAACTTTCCCTTTTTGGGGTGTTCAAAAGCCATTAAAAAGACTCTTACTTTCAGCAACAATGTTAACTCCAGACAAAAACATGGCTTGTGAAATCTCTCAATTCTCCATAGTCTCCAGTTTACTGTTTACAGCATAAACGTTAAGTAATAATATAAATTACTTAAGGGAAAAATAAAATCCATGTCATAGCTTTTCTACTACTTCAGCCATGCCTATCTACTTATAGGCACTATTATGAAGAGAAACACGGGAAGGTACATGGAGCTATAAAAGAGGCTGTTACTAAACATCACTGCATAAAAGTACTGAAAGTTCATCATGAATGGCAGTATGTAAAGGCCTTTTTTAAAGGCCTTCCCTTAAAAAAAAAAAGCACAGCAGGTCAGCTTCCATTTGAAAAGTTTCATTTGTACATCCAAAACTTCCTGTAACTTTTTTGCTGTTGTGTTCTAAAACTTACTACCAACTTGGTTTCTGATTATGACAAAGCAATTAAAATTTGCAGGGGTGAAATGGACACTGTGGAAACACACTGGCAGCTCAGAGAACGGTGCTTGACGAAACCTCCAGGAGAGGAACCCTACATCCTCACTGAGAGACGAATTTAAGAGTGTTCCATATTGTAGCCATAGGATGTAAGAAGAGATTAAGGTCAGCAGGAAAATGTAAGACTGGAATGAACGAGATTGCGTTTTTTCATCTGCATCATATGGTCACAGATTAACATTCTATTAAAACACAAAGCTTCACTACGGAAGGGGAGAAGGTTGCACCCGCGGCACCACCACAGGCCTGAGGCAATGATTTCGATATCCTGCTAAATGCTACCGTGTCCCCAACGTCATCAAATAATTGCTGGACAGCTCCACCATGTCTACGCGTTAACCACACAAAATCGAGGGAGCAGACACCTTTGCCAGGAGTCCCAGTGCAAAACCATAATAACTCCTCAAGGCTTCGCACGCACAAATTTAGGGTTCTCATTTCGCTGGAAAGAAAACTGAGGAGCTGAGGGAGAAGCAGCGACCGTCCAGTGCCTCCAAGGGCCAAGACAGAGTTAAGATGAGGTCCACCTCGGACTTCTCACTCCCCACCTTCCTCCGCTCCAACCCTGGAAAGAGCCACAAGTGAGCAAGAGAAGTCGTGGAAACAAGACCGGGGTTGGGGGTAGGAGGGGAGAACCCGAGAGAGTTCAACACCAGCGCCTGCATTTGTCCCACACAAGGTCACTCGCTCCAAGTCACTTTTCCCTGCTGCCCTGGTGGGCTTCCCGCCAAAGAGGCAGCTAGGCTTCGAGGCCAGCCCACCGCGCCCCCTCGGCCCTCCCCTGCGGGCCGCAGCCCCTTCCCGGCCTCTCTTCTCGGACCCAAGCGCGCCTCCTGACACCTGTCTCCGACGCCCGGCCCCTCTCTCAGCCCAATTCCGCGGCTCCTCCGCCTCTACCCACGGGGCCCCCATCAAACTCCCCTCCCTCCCTCCGGACGCCCCTTTCCCCGCCTCCCGCGCCCGGTCCCGCCGGCGGCCTGGGACGGCGTTCCTTTTTTCCGTTCCCGCCGCCCTCTCCTCGGGTGCCCACCTGGCGCGGCCGGCCCCCAGCCGGTCTCCTCAGCGAGCGGCCGCCTCCCAAGTCCTCCCGGCCCAGCCCCGCTCCCGGGAGGATACAGTTTGAAGCCCCTCAGGATCTCCCTGGCCCGCTCGTCCTTGGTTGACATGATGCGGCGACCGCCGCCTGCGACTCTCCCACGCTGGCCCGGCGGAGCCTCGTAGACTGTGCCCAGGAGCCGAGGACTGAGCCGCAGCCCGGCCTGCAGACCTCGGGCGAGCAGCGACAGCGTCCAGACCCGGACCGACCTCTTTTCCCTCAGCTCCCGCTCCTGATCCCTTCTCCTTCCCTCTAGCCTCGGAGCGCCCGCTCTGAAGCCAATGGAAAGCCCGCCTCGGCGATTGGCATCTTGATCAACCAATAGAAACATTCAGCGGCTTCGCAGGGGGACGGAGAGCGTCAATGGGAAGGGCCCTCCCCGGGAAGTCCCGTAGGACAAAATTTTCATTTGGTGTTGTTGCCTAGAGTTTGACCCTGCGGAGGGTTGGCTTCAGATCTGCAAAGGCTCGCTTCGAGCCCGCTCCTGCCGCTGGGCACAGTAGGGCTCTGAGATAACAGCAGGTTGCCCTGTGCGATGTGGCGGAGACTACACTTCCCAGCATTCCAGGGGAGAGCCCGGGGGACCACAGATCCCAACACGCAACAGAAAGCCCAGGGACTACAAATCCCAGCGTTCCCTGCACTCAATTCCTCTGTAACTTAGATTCCAGTGTGCCGCGCAGTGCGCGCAAGTTCGTAAACCTGCTTCTGGGTTTCGTGGTTTCTGAATCCCTAGACTTGAAACCAGGCGGGAAGATCCTCTTCAGCCTCAAAAGATGACAGCCCACAGAGAGGTAACTTCTATTTGCATGGAACTCAGAAATCTCCTGCAAATCATGGTAAGGACGAAACAACAAACACAAACACTGATTAAATTATGAAAGATAATATAACAAATGACTCCTTCAAGTCGTGCTTGTTCGTTGGCCTGGGGCGCCGTTTAGGTGTTTTGCAGGGGTTTCTGGTGTGCTCCTGCGTTGGACTGAGAGAGATATCGATTGTACACTCAGAATATCAGTACAGTTAGACTTCAGAGAATTTGCTAATCCAACCCCTGTTATTTTTATATATGAAGAAACTGAGGCCCAGAGAGGCAAAGAGATTGTTGAGGGATCACAGCAAGTTGGGGCAGAGTTAGAATTCGGCTCTAAGTCTCCTGCAGTCTGGGCTTTTTCCACTACACTAGGGTGATGATATTTTTAGCAGCATGGCTATGCGATCTTACTCTCCTTGGTGAAGTCTTCCCATCACGGTTGAAACACCCAGAGGTGTTGTCTGCCATTTTCAGTAAACAATGTTGCCTGCCATTCCAGTAAACAACAACAAATTTTGGCCACCATCAAGCCATCAGCCACTGAAGCCACCCTTGAAGATGGGCCCAGAGGGGAATTCAGGATGGAGAAAAACAGGATACTTGCCCCAGATAATTAAGATGCATATCTAAGGAATAATTTCAATGAGCTCAGACACTTGCATCTTCCCATACATAGAAAAGCACTAAAATCATTTATTTGAGATGTCTGTTTTTTGTTGATTAGCAGTAATCTTTTGATGTTCAATTACATATTTTCTTTTCAGCAAAAACTCCTTTGTATCCTGGTTCCTCTGTTACCTCTTCGGAGCAGTTCCTCAGAGCTATCTGAGAGGCTGTCTCCTGGGCTATAGTCCTCAGTAAGGTCCCCAAATAAAACATAACTCACAACTTTTAGGTTGTGCGTTTTTCTTCAGTCGACATTAGGTAAACATTTATTTGGTGGCTTTCCTGCAAGTGAAGGAGTGCAATGTTTGTTTATCCTCAGTCTAGGTAAGACTTGGTATTTTGATTTGTTCTTTTTTACTCAAGGCGACATTTAATATGATTTCAGAAACTAGGTAAAATTGTAGCTTAAGGTTTCCTTGGAGATCTGCTATCTCTTTTCCTAGGCCTTCCTTCCTCTTCCTGTACCCCTTTCGCCTATCTGGGCACCCACCCAAGTTTTCCTTCCATGTAATTCAACAAACACCTTTTTCAGCTTATGTTATTTGCCAGACTCTCTGTTGGTAGAAGGTGGAAGGCATGGTCACTGCCACAAGCAAGATAACCATCTAGTTAGGGAAAAAAAGAGACTCCACTGAAATTCAAGATGAACTGTGATGAATGGCACAAAAGAAAGGACATTAGAATGCTACAGAGGCCCGCCTGGAAAGATATATTTCAGCTGGCAAAACTTGATGGAGGAAGTGGCATGGGTAGGATTTTTTTCTGTGTTAAAAAGTTTTATCTGTAAATCTTTTTTGTTAATGAAGTGTAACACATACAGCAAGAGCACAGTTTTGGCATATGTATACACCTGTCACCAACCCCCAAATCCAGATATTGAACATTTCCAGCACCCCTCCCAGGGTGCCCCTTCCCAGTTAGTGCTGCATCCTTCCATCCTGATAACCACTCTTCTGACTTCTATTACCATAGATCACTTTTGCTGTTCTTGAATTTCATTTAAATGTAATCATACAGTAAGTACAATATGAGTCTGGCCTTTTTTGTTCATCAATATTTTTGTGAGATTCATCCATGTTGTATGTAGCAGTATCTTTTTTTTTTAATTGCTAAGTAGTATTCCATTGTATGTATGTAGCACCATTTACCTTCTCTAGTGTTCATGGGCATTTTGGTTTTCATTTACCAGTTTCTGGCTTTTATTAACGAAGCTGCAATGAACATTCTTAAATGTTTCTTTTTGTGGACTCATGCATTTATTTCTAGGAGAGGAGTTGCTGGCTTGTGTGGTCGGCATACGATCAGCAATAGTAGATATTGCCAGTTTTCCAAAATGTTTGTACCAATTTTCACCTTCACCAGCAACATAAGAGAGTTCTATTTGACTCTTACCCTTGGCAATAGAGGGTGGTGTCAGTTTTTAAAATATTAGCCATTTTGGCTAAATGTGTTATCTCATTATAATTTTCATTTACATTGTCTTTGGTGTTGAGCCCTTGTCATATGCTTGTTGGCTACTTGATGTCCTCTTTTGTGAAGTGCCTGTTCAGGTCTTTTGCCCACTTTCTCAATTGGGCTAATTCTTATTGATTTGTTGTCCTTTATATAGTCTGGATATGGAGTTCCTTGTCCGATACATGCTTTGTATATATCTTTTCCAAGTTGGTGGCTTGCTTCTTTAGTCTTGTACTCGTGTCTTCTGAGAAGAGAAGTTCTTAATTTTAGTCAAGTGCCATAGTTCAATGCTTCCTTTTTATGATTAGTGCTTTTTGCATTGTTTAAATCTTTGCCTACATGGTTGGTGGAATTGGAACAGACAAATATGAGGGAAGAGCACTGCGAAAAGGAAGAGAGAGCAAGTTTGAGCATAGGCCCTGGTGTCAGAGAGGGAAGATGTGAGTCCTGTTAGGCCGGGAAGGCATGGAGTTTGGGCTCTAATGAGGTGGGGCGAGACAAAGCTGGATAGGTAGGAGGGAGGCATACTGAGAAGGGCCTTAACTGCAGCCTTGGAGTCTGGACATTATTCTGGAGGCCGGGGAGGCACAGCTGGAATATTTATGAACTTAAACAGAACTTAGTTGTTCTCCTTCCACCACTGACTTTGCTCCTTCTCCTCTGCAGCCCTGTCCTCTAACACCACCTCCAGACAGCTCTGGCCTCCCCAGCCAGAATCCTGGGGGGTATCTTCCTTTTCTATCCCTGCATTCAACTGGTCACCAGGTCTGATAGGTTCTGAGGTATCTAAATGTCTCCAACAATGTCCCTTCTATTTCATGCCCAGCTGCAGCTACCTTTGTTCAAGATCTCACAATCTCTTAACTGGAATACATCAGTCACCTCAAGGGTTTCCCAGCCTCCAGTTCTCTCCACATCCAATACATTCCTATAGCAGCTAGTGTCCAAAATGGCAATTATTCAGACCCCTCCACAGCTTAAAAACCCTAAATAGCTCCCCAGTGCCCTTAAGGTAAAACAAACAAACAAACTCTAAAAGAGTTGGCTCTTTCTTCCAGGCTCAACTCAAGCCTCATTTCCTCCAGAAGCCTTCCTTAAATCACCTCTCTCCAGGACACAGCCAGGAGCCTTATCTGTACCCCTGGGGCTCCTTGTGGCACCATCTGTCCTAGCCAGATGGACCTGTATCTCCCAGGAACCTTGAGCTTTCCCAGGTAGGAACTTTGCTGTATCTAGATTTTTACTGAGTATAGGGCTGTGCATGTGGTTTCCAAGAGCCTTGATGACCTGACTCCAGCTCTGTAGCCCTCATTTCTTACCCTTGAACCCTGGGTTCCAGTCACTGTGGGTTTCTTCTCTGCATTAGTGTATGCTGCACAGTGCAGGCCTCTGTGACTATGGTCACTGCCCTCTTTTCTTCCCCTTTTTGCCCATAAGATGCCCACTTTCTCTTCCCCAACACATTCCCTTCTGTGCTTCCAAAGTATTGTCATCTCTCTCTCATAGCACTTAACACATTGAAGCTTTTTGAGGGCAAGAACCTTGTCTTATCTTCATATAAACTTCTAGAACATAATACGTGCTAAAGAAAATTTTAAAATAGATGAATGCGTTGGTGCTCGTCTCCTTTGTATCTGTCTAATTTCTGCACTCGAATGCACGAAAGGTAAATAGGGTTTTTTTCCTCATCTTCAAGACCTGAAAGTCTGTGGTGTATACTTTAAAGGAACCAGCCTAAGTGTTCAGTTACATGGCATTCTTATCCATCTTCCAGGGGAGTTGGTAAGTACCAAATGCAACGCCACGAATGTCATTTTGGTCACAGAACCATTGTTGGCTCAACCCATCTTCTGCTTATTTTAAAATATTTTCTGAATAAAGATGAAGAACATGGTCTTGGCTTCAGATAGCCTGGGTTTCAAAGCAGACTTTTTTTTTTTTAATTATTTTTGGCTGAGTTGGGTCTTCGTTGCTGCGCGTGGATTTTCTCTAGCTGCGGCGAGCAGGGGCTGCTCTTCGTTGTGGTGCGCGGGCTTCTCATTGCGGTGGCTTCTTTTGTTGCGGAGCACCGGCTCTAGGTGTGCAGGCTTCAGTAGTTGTGGCACGTGGGCTCAGCCGTGGTGGCTGGCAGGCTCTAGAGCGCAGGCTCAGTAGTTGTGGCACATGGGCTTAGTTGCTCTGCGGCATGTGGGCTCTTTCCGGACCGGGGCTCGAACCCGTGTGCCCTGAATTGGCAGGTGGATTCTTAACCACCGCGCCACCAGGGAAGCCCTCAAAGCAGACTTTCATACTTGCCGGCTTTTGGATTTTTTAATTAATTAATTAATGGCTGTGTTGGGTCT